CGGGGCATGCAGCTACAGCTCTTCGAGGGCCTCGACGGTTGCGTCGAGGCCGGTGAAGCGAAGAAGTTGGACAACTACAGCTCTCCCTCCACGGTGATGAAGAAATCCAGGCTCCTAAAGCACACGTGTGCGCCCGGGACCCAGCTGACGCCATGGCTAGCCATTCGTGGCCTGTTGTGGATGACGAGATATGCAAAGGGCCCCTACCTGGCGCGCCAACTGTCGGTGTTTCGAATCACCGACTAGTAAATTTATGATTTGTGCGTCTGGCCCGGATGGTGTGCTCGAAGGATACAAGGATTTATACTAGTTCGGGTGGAATGTCCGTACGTCTAGTCTGCTGTTGTTCGTGTTACCGGCACTAGTTTGTAGTATGGGTTACAAACGGACGAGAGAGAGAGAGAGAGAGAGAGCAGGTCCCAAGTCTCTGGTGAAAAGGTCGAACGGAGTTGATTCTTGTTGAGCTCGTTGAGCCCTCTCATTCGTGGAGCATCCTGCTTCCCCTTTTATAGATGAAGGGGAAGGCGCATGTTACACGAGAGAGAGAGAGAAGCGAGGAGGAAGAAGGCCTCCAGGATCGCGGCGCCCTTTATCTCCTTTACGCGGGTCCCGCCGGTCCTATAGATAATGATGGGGATGGCTCCACGTCGTGACCCTGTTCATCACTGGCGCTATATGCGGACGTCGTCAGCCGGTCGTGGCGCTCCATTCCGTCCCAGCGGGCGGCGTGGTTAGCAGGTACCCCCGTCGAAAGTCGTACGGGGATTAGGTAGCATAGCGCCGGCACGCCCGACACTGTTGGTGACATGAGTCATCAGGTATGGCCCATCGTGGCCGTGGGTCACACCAAGACGCGCCTACTCCCTTCCTGGTGTCAGAAGTTTGACCCTAGGTTCGTACTCTTAGACCCGTAGTGGTTGGGGGCAATACGGACCCCATCGGGCGAGGCGGAATTCCCCTTCGAGGGGTCTGGCGAGGTGAAGTCCGTGCCCTAGGGGTCGGGTGAGACGGAGCTCGCACCCTCGGGGTCAGGCGTGACGGAGCCCCGCCCTCAGGGTTGGGCGAGACAAAGCCCGCGCCCGAGGGGGTCTGGCGAGACGAAGTCTGCGCCCGAGGGGTCGGGCGAGACGGAGCCCACGCCCTCGGTGTCAGGCGTGACGGAACCCGCGCCCTCGGGGTCTGGCGAGATGGAGCACGCGCCCTCAGGATCAGGCAAGACCAAAATACGGTCTTGACCGTCCGGACGAGTTAGCGTTCACGGCCATCAGCTTGCTTCTTGCAGATATTCCTAAGACTGATACCCGACAAGTACTCAGTAATAAGAACGGGATTGTTAAACTAATACTATACGCATGAATCAGCAATCAGATAAGATTGTCTAAACTCTAAAGTCAATAAAAGTAAAAGAAGTAAGCACCAAAAGTGAGGTTCGTGGCAGAAGTGAATAGAGACATACAGTACAGGATATACATTACATAGACGCTACACTACTAATGATTATAGATGCAGAAATAAAAGAGCACTACCATAGAAACTACTCCTGATCGTACATATAGAATAAAAGATCACTACAGTTATAAAGCTGGTAAGTCTTTGTAATATGAGATTGTAGAGCAAATAAATTTGGGAGTTACTAAAATTCAGATGCATATTTTTCAAAAAAAAAAAATCAGGCAACGAATGTTAGCCGTCCGATCAAGATCTACCAGCTCTCCTCTTTTCTTCTTCCTCAGGCCAGATTGCTCCCTCATGAAGTCATGAGTCACATATGCTTGTCTGTTCTTTCTTCCTCCCGCGTTGTACATTCACCCACCTCCCACCCTCCTCCACCTGTCCCGGTGTTGCAATGTAGGAGATGTGAATAAATGTAGTTTGCTGAGCACTCACAGTAACATATGAGATTTGTATAATCTATGAGTGATTTTATGTTGTGAAATGGAGCTATGATTATTTCTGGGCAATTGGAACTATGTATCTATGTCTATGTAGAGCCGAAATTATAGAAGCATGCTTCTTGCTAATACAGGAAATGAAGAACTGAAGATAAAACTAAAAGTTGCAGTGCAATACTGAGGTGGGCAGACTATCACTACCGGATACAGGAGCTTTGTCGAGTGTCAGGGGCACGCGGCGAAGCTCAAAAAACACTCGGCAAAGGGTTTGACGAGTGTTACACTCGGCAAACAACACTCGACAAACCCTTTAACGGCAAACGCTAGTTTGCCGAGTGTTTTTTGTCGAACACTCGGCAAAGAAGTTGCCGAGTGCCCAAAAAACACTCGACAAACTTTTTTTAAAAAAAATAAAAAAAGACACGCCGACACCACGTCCGCACCACCAGCACCGCCGCCGTCCCCTCCACCGCCTGGGGTGCGCCGGATCTGGAGCTCAAGGTGGCAGAGCTCGCCGGATCCACCACCTGCCCGCCGGATCTGGAGCTCGAGGTGGTGGAGCTCGCCGGATCCACGCTACCAGGCCGAAGGGAGCTCGTCGGAGGGAGAGAGGAGAGAGGGTGCACCGGAGATGACGTAGAGATGAGGTGGAGGAGAAGCGCCGCATCGCCGGCCCGACGCTGGTGGAGGAGCGCCGCCACCTCGCTCGCGCCTGTCGGATCCGGGCTGCTCCTCGCTGGGGCGCGCCAGATCCACCGTCGGAGCGCCGCCGGAGCAGACCTCTGCCCCGCTCATCGGCTGCCGCCTCCATCCCAAGAGAGAGAGAGGCTCGGTGAGGAGAGGGAGAGGAGTGAGAAGGGCGCTCGGTGAGGAGAGGGAGGGGGCGCCGGCGAGGCGAGGGCAGGGAGAGGGAGCTGGTGCTCGTGTGCGGGGGAGGAGGGAGGCGCACTGCAAAGTGGGGGGAGGGGGGCGGTGTGCGGCGGGGTTTTATTTGCAGAAAAAAATTATTTGCCGAGTGTTCTAGATCTAGCACTCGGCAAAGTTTTTTTTTCTTCTCCTTTATTTTCAGGAAAAAAAATTAATTCTTTGCCGAGTGTTCTAGATCTGACACTCGGCAAAGTTTTTTTTTTTCATTTTTTTCCTCTCCTTCTTTTCCAGAAAAAGATTTTATTTCTTTGCTGAGTGTTTTTTTTATACTCGGCAAACCCTCTCTTTGTCGAGTGTTTTTTTTCACTCGGCAAACCCCCTCTTTTGCGGAGTGTTTTTAGCGCAGCACTTGGCAAATAACTTAGTCACCGAGTGCCCGAGGAAATACACTCGGCAAACATAAAAACACTCGGCAAATTTGAGGATTCCGGCAGTGTATATGAAATAAGAGCATCTCCAAGAATATCCTATATTTTCTTCCTAAAAATGTGTACTTTTACAACTTCTAAAATGATATTATGAGGAATCATAAAGGTTATCACAAGAGTTTCTAATAATTCATTTTTAAAAAATCTAAATTTGGCACCACAAGCTACTTAGAAGTCGCCACCATGGCGAGGTCCGAGTCCGACTCGTCCATGCCAATCGGCGGCGCCGCCTTCCATCCCCTAGAGCCCCACTGACGACGACGACGATCGCATCCGTCTCGCAGTTGCCTCAACAATTATAATTAGGTTAATAAAATCAACCAACGAATCAATCTGGCAGCCGCGACGGCCCACCGAACCAAATAAATCAAACTACTACTACTACTCCGCCGACTGTGCTCAGCAGCAGAGGTTGCCGGCGCCTCCGCCTTTGTAGTGCCTCCGTATGGCCTTGTACGAGTAGGACCCGCCACCAAGGGGTTGTTGCCCGCTGTTGTTCGTGCCCGCCGCCGCGCATGAGGAGCTGGAAGCCTCGCGCTGCCACGGTCTGTCTTCTTGAAGTCGATGAGGCCGCCGTCGGCGTCTGGCATGAGTTGATGAGCCATCCCCACCGTGGACGTGCAGTCTTGCCGACCCGGCGACGCCGAGGAGCCGTCAAGCTCGGTCGGTGCTCGGGAGGCTCTCGCACGAGCACGCCTGGGCAGCGAGCACGCCGAGCAGGTGGTGGCTGCGTGCTCATGGCCATGGCGCGGCTACTGGGGTTCGGCGAGGGGTTCTTCCTCGACTGAGTCGGCGAGAAGGGCGGCACGCCGGCACCTACGCACGGTTCACCTAGTAGCGGCAGGATCCGCGCGAGCACAGCTGCGTGTATCTTTACGCGCAAAGGACTCACTTTTTAGAAGTGCTAAAAGATTAGGAGTTGATTTTAGAAACTGGTGGACACCTGTTTTTCTTAATTTTGCTAAAAATTCTAAATTAGGAGAGTGTTTTAGAAACTCTTGGAGATGCTCTGGAGATGCTCTGATGGTCCTCTATTAGCGCATAACTAGCCAAGGGACTTCGTCTCTCCAATCCATCTGGATCCTTGTGGTCATGCAAGCACCTGAAGACTTTTCAGGTAAGGATTTCAGATCGACGTCTTTCTTTTTCATTTGTATGATCTACATTCCACATAAACATACAGATCATTCACCATTTTAGAAGACAATCAATGGAAATCAGAGAATAGAGAATGGGGGTTATAATTCAGAGAAAGATCAGGAATGACCGTGAGGTTCACCTCTGGCCCTCGTCCTCTTCTGATCTGGTGGCTGCTGCTCTGCAGCGCACCAGGCACCAGCGACACCTTCTCTGTGCCGGCGGTCGCTAATCCAACGAAGTACGAGGACATGACCTGAGAAGAACGGCGCTGGAGGAGATGAAGCCGGGAGGATGGAGCGCCGGCCGCCGGGGACTGAGGAGGGACAGCTGAGGCCGCAGCGATGCGGCGGTGTGGAAGCGACCGAGAATAAATGAGTCGACTCATTTATTTTTTGAGGGGCTGTTTCAGTGGGCTTGGCTCAGTTGGCTGGACGGAAGCTCATCCCATTCCCACCTCATTCTCATCTCATAAAACACACGCCCCACCGCACGACACGACACAAGCCGAGGCGAGCAACACAAAGCAGCGCACACAGTGGGTCTCTCCGTTCCCGTCCCCGACGCGCTTCCCGCCTGAGTCCGCGCAACCGCACCGCATCAGTCCCCAGTCCCCATGTGGCCGTCCTGGGTCAAGAAGACGCGCAGCTCTGACTCCGCTGCCGCCTCCACCTCCACGGCCCTCGTCCCCGCCGCCGGCGCGTCCCCGCGCCTCTCCATCCCCAATCCGTCTCTCAAGGACCTCCGGTCCCTGCTCGCGCCGGACTCCGCCGCCGCCGGTGCCGCCTTGCCCTCCGCCTCCCCGTCGCCGCGCGTCTTCCACCGCATCCGCGTCGCCGCCTCCGCGCTCCGGGTCCTCCGCACGCTCCAGCACTCCCCGTCCCCGGCCGCCGCGCCCGGCGGCAACGGCAAGGAGCTAGTACCGGGCGCCTGGGGCGGGCGGGTGGTGCTGTACTTCACCTCCCTCCGCGTGGTCCGCGGCACCTACGAGGACTGCCGCGCGGTGCGCGCCATCCTGCGCGGGCTCCGCGCCGCCGTCGACGAGCGCGACCTCTCCATGGACCCCGGCTACCTGCCGGAGCTCGCCGCGCTCCTCCCCCCGCACGCGCAGCAGCAGCAGCAGCGCCGCCGCGTGGCGCTGCCCCAGGTCTTCGTCGGCGGCCGCCACCTCGGCGGCGCCGAGGAGGTCCGGCGCCTCCACGAGTCCGGCGAGCTCCGCCGCATCGTGGCCCCCGCCCCCGCCCCCGCGTTCCCCGGCAACTGCGCCCGCTGCGGCGGCGAGCGCTTCGTGCTCTGCGGCGCCTGCGACGGCAGCCACAAGCGGTACAGCCTCAAGGGCGGCGGCGGGTTCCGCGCCTGCGCCGAGTGCAACGAGAACGGGCTCGTCCGCTGCCCCGCCTGCTGCTGCGTCTTCCCCGCCGCCTGATCCAGATCCACGATTCAACTGGTTCTGGTTTTCTTCTCTCTAATTATTACTCCAACTCTCTAGGACTAGCTGTACTCTGTACTCCACTGTACTCAGCTTGCCATGAAACTTGATTAGGAGGAAGCTAGCTATTACTAGTACTAGTGATTCGTGAATTCAGTTACTAGTGATTAGTAGTGTCTCTGGAGTTATTTTCCTCCGACCTTAGAACATAATCTGGCTTAGAACAGTCGTTTCAGTTTCAGTTCCTCTCCGCTCTTGGCTAATCTGGCTTTCCTCCGTCTTTGGATCCCAGATCACGATTCCTAAAAGCTCTGGTTCTTGCATGCATCTGCACGTAGTACGTTTTATGAATCGTATGAATTCATTCATACTCCCTCCGTCCCATTGAGTTTGTCGTTTGAAAACCGTGCCCCCCTCACAATCCCGCTTCCCGAGCGACAAACTCAATGGGACGGAGGGAGTAAGGCATGAGCTCCCGGCCACTCCCTAGCGTATGCACGGACGCGGCGTGGCGAGGAGCCGTCGTCCGGCATGTACGTCCTCTCGTTCTACGTACTCCCTCCGTCCCGTTAAGATTGTCGCTCGGGAAGCGGGATTGTGAGGGGGGCACGGTTTTCCAACGACAAACTCAATGGGACGGAGGGAGTACTCCGTACTCCATGGTTTTATGAGATGGGATGATTGATTGCTCCTGCTTGCTTCGTTGTGTCGTCCTGAGGCGACGCGCGGAAGCAACTCGCTGACAGGTGTAGTGCCTCACGTCACAGACCCCCGGCTTGGGCTTGTGCGATCTGCAAACTTCAACTGCTGCCTGCTGGTGTCGGCCAATCATGTGATGCTCATTCGCGGTTCGCGCGAAGTCAGAGCGAAGCCGTAGATGAACGCGTCACGCTCACGCCCTCGACCGGGTAGCGCGGAGAGGGAGGGAGATCGCTTCGCTTCCAGTGTTGGACTGGTGGTGCGATTGGATTCTGGCAAATTATATTTTTTGAACTGAAGATTCCGTTAGATTAAATTAAAATAACAGCGCGCACATGGTGGGTCTTGTACCGTGGCATCCGGTTCGCCATGCGGCCCGCACAAGCCGGTGGGCCGACAGAGGAAGACGATTCATGGAGGTGGAGTGGTCACGTGGTGTAGGACGCGGGCCAGTGCAGGCAGCGATCACTGGCCACCGGCAGCGGCTAGTGTCCAGGCCTCCGCTTTTCACTTTTTTCTCGTGATCTCGTCCCTTCTTGGCCTGGTCCTGTCGACCGCCGTGATCCTGCCGAGGCTATTGAGCACGGTTAAAACTAGGTGAATTTCCTAGCGGGAATAGGAGGACTAAGTTTGGATGGATAAAGAAATCTCATGAAATGAAATTAATTTTATGGAACTGAAATCTTGATCGCTAACTGTTGGGTACATTTCGGGTATGATCGATTTAGTGATGGGTTCTCATTTCAGGGCAACTGGCCTGTATCCGATCCATCAGCCAGCTTGCGTGCATGCAAGGCCAAGCTGATTATTGGTGGGCTGTTGCCATTCAATATGGCTGACTAGAGAAATTGTTTGGATGGATGATCTACCGAATGAGATGCACCTCAGCTTGTTTTGTTGATTGCATACTAGATAGTCAGGTTACCACATGTATGAATCGGTGAGGATACCACTCTCATATGAAACCACAACAGATCTTCAGTTCAGGTGCAGATTTAGCAAAAGATGAAGTTGCATATTGTAAGGATTGAAATTTATAAATTTCATAGAGGCCTCATAAAGTCATAATACTACCTTTCATCATTTCATCATGTTCTATGAGCACATGAGCATTAAAAATGATATATTGCACAATAGAGCAACAAATAAATGAAGGCCACTGAACAAGAAATGGATCGGCAGGAAGGAACGAAGATGGTGCCCAGTACCTACAGCTTGTTCGGTTGACTGGTTCGTTTCGTTGCTGGTTCGTGAAGAAGTACTGTTGGCTGGTTTATGTGAGAGAAAAATACTATTCTGGCTGAAAATTTACGATCGTTTACGACAAGCCACAGCCAAACGAACAGGCTTATACCTACAAACGGGCCGGTTCGACCCACTTCAAAATGCGACCCGCTCCTAGTTTGAGCCAATGGATCGAACCGGTTCGACCCTAAAACAATCAGGGGCGATAGGTTCGGGACTCGTCCGACCCCAATCGAACCTAGGGTCGAACCGCGCGGCCCTCGTCCCGAGCTCCCCGCCGCCATGCCGCCGCTCCTCCCGTCGCCGTGAGTCGCGGCAGCCCCGCGGCGCGGCTCGTCCCTCCCCGTCGCCGTGGCCGTCGAGTCCCAGCTCCCCGTCGCCATCGCCGTCGAGTCCCTGCTCCGCCGCCACTCCTGTCGTCGCCGTTGAGTCCCCTCTGCAGCTACGCTCATCCAGCAGACGACGACGGCCTCTACACTCACTTCACTCATCCTCCTCTTTGCCATCCACAGGTCAGGTGACGCCGGCGCGAGGGCTCCTTGGTCGACGTCGGACTCTCCTGGCTACGGAACAGCGGCCAGCAGCAGTTAACTACACGTACCTAAGCAGCAGCGATACGTACACGTAGGTTAGCAGCAGCGACGCGTACGGTTCGACCCCCGGCGAACCGCGGGTCGTGCGGACCAGCCATGGGCACGGATAGGTTCGACCCGTGAACCGCTTTTGTCGCTGATGGGGCGTCGAATTTTTTATTTTTTAGTCTTTTAAAAAAAATATTTACATTTAGACTCTTTACTGTTTTAATTTTGTTTTTGACCCTGTGCTCGGCGCCGTGGATCACGAAGCCGAGCTAGACGCCGTGAGTCATGGCGCCGATGTTGGATGCGCTAGCAGCCAACCTGCCTGATCAAGAGCTGATGTGGCACCAAGTTTGGTGCGCCGAGCTGGGCGCCGTGGATATTGGCGTCGAGCACTGTCAACTGGCGCTACTTTTTAGTCTTCGCACCCATCAACATCAATTGTGCTAGTATGGTGGCCTTGGATGGTTACGTGACCCGATGTCTGAGACTCTGAGCTGCTACTGGTACTAGCTGCTTTGGGGAACGAAATCCAATACCAGAGCTACTCCACGAAGAGAGAGACAAGGCATGGCTGTATGGGCATTGTAAGGTCGAGATGGCGGACTAGAGGATGGTGAATAGTCCTTTCTAAAATTAATCGAGATGGCTAACCGAAACAAATACGGAATTAAAACAATCGGTCTAGATAAGACTACACCCCTCTATCGAAGTTCACAAACACCTTATAAAGATCCTAATTAGGAAACAAAGGTGCCGGGCTAGTTAGAGCTCACCTAACCAATTCTAGGAGTAAGGTCATACAAACCTATGCCACTAGTATTTTGCATACCGGAGAGCTCCTACACAATTCTAGTAAGCAAAAGCACAAAGCTTCTAAGCTTACTAGCAATGCTCAATAACAAGGGAACCAATGCCAAATTTAAGAGCACAAATACTTAGCTACACAATCTAAGCGATGTGACTAACAAGGTTACACAAACCAAATTAGCCACGAAAGGGAGCTACTTCTATGCTACACAAGCAAGAAGGTAACTAGTGAGCTATACAAGCTAACTAATTACAAGAGCAACTACACATGCACAACGTATATGAAAGTAATTACAAACTTATGTAAGGGGATTGCAAACCAACGGGAAGAACAATGTTGACACGGTGATTTTCTCCCAAGGTTCACGTGCTTGCCAACACGCTACGTCCCCGTTGTGTCAACCACTCATTTGGTGGTTTGGTGGCTAATTGGCATCACCCGCCAAGCCCGCACGTCGGGCACCGTAAGAACCTACCCCGAAAGTGAGGATAGCTCAATGACACGCTCAATTAGAGTTGTTCTTCATAGCTCCTGCGGGGCGACCACAATGCCCCTCACAAAGCTCTTCTCCGGAGCACCGCACAAGCTTCTTGCGGGCTTCGACGGAGACCATCACCAAGCCGTCTAGGAGGTGGCAACCTCCAAGAGTAACAAGCACCACTGGCTTGCAAGACGACCACCTAGTGCCACTCGATGCAACCTCACGATGCAATCGCACTAGAATCGCTCACTCACTCAATCGGATGATCACTATCAAGCATGTGTGAGATGGAGGGCTCCTAAGCACTCTCAAGCATGGACACAAAGTCCCCCAAGGTGCTCAACCACAGCCATGGCCGAGACCACCTTCTATTTATAGCCCTATGGGCTAAAATAGCCGTTACCCCTTCACTAGGCGTTTTTGGGTTGACCGGACGCGCCGATCGGATCGATCGGACGCACGCTGCCAGCGTCTGGTCAACGGATGGATGCCACATCATCCCTGGCTTCAAATACTGAGCGCCCGATCTCAACGGTTAAGTTGCAACCGGACCCACTGTGAGGATGACCGAACGTTCCTGCCCCTGAGTCCGGTTGTTTCCAGAGAGCTCCCCGAGCTTCTATTTTGCGACCAGATGCGTCCGCTCCTGCACGACCGGATGCACCACCTGAGTCCGGTCATTCTCTGACTGCCATGTGTCACTGCTGTTCCTTACGCCACCACGTAGCGTACGTCGGCACTGACCAGACATAGGCCCTGAGCGTTCGGTCACTCTTTGCGCCAGCGTCTGGTCACGAGACCGAGACTACGCACTCACTGCTGCCACTGACCAGACGCGCCGGTCCTGCCGAGGCCAGCGTCCGGTCACTTTGACCGAGACCACGCATTCTCAAGAACATATGACCGGACTCGCCAGCCAGCGTCCGGTCGCTGCACTGCGCAGAGTCCGATCACTTCCAGTGACCTGTTTCGCCTCCTTTTCTTTACCGAGTTGATCCACATGAACTCCAACTTCTTCTCCTTTGTAAGTGTGCCAACACCACCAAGTGTACACTACCATGTGTATGTGTGTTAGCTTTTCACAAACATTTTCCAACGGATTAGCCACTCTACTTGCCACGCCACTCAATCCTAGCGACGATGCAAAGTTAGATCACTCGAGTGGCACTAGATGACCGATATG